GTTTACCCGGGGGATGTTTTTTTTCTTGAACCGTAGATGTGATTGAGACAAATTCTGTCCCTTCATGCAGCAAATGCATCCTGCACCACACTATGATAATTTACCTCTGTTTTGTATATAACTTAAGTCTGTTTGGTGTAAACAGAATAAGATCATAGGCACACTATAAATGAGACCCCTGGTGTGTGTTTTCTCATGAAAGTGAAGAATCTGATTAAACCAACAGCCTCGAGACGGAACGAAACGGCGGTGGCGGAAACAGTCTAAACCTCAAACACTGCAGAAAGAATGAAGTCAGTGCTATATAACCAATGAACAGTAGGCAAACACTTCACAGGTTATACTTGGACAAATGTTACGTCAGTTGTCTTTTTTTGGCTTGTTATTAAAATATCATTTACAATTACTTTACAAAGTGCTGTATTAAATATTTAAACTGTTTTACCAGTGAAATGCTCAACATGAACGTCAGCACAATGACAAAGGAACGCACGCTAAATCAAACTGGCATAGATGTGAAAGAAATGCTCCAGATGGCTCTTACACTTTGGTTGCGCAGTGATGCGTCACATAAAAAGTACTTTATCTACAAGACTTCCAAACTATGATCAACGCAAACCACCTTAAGCAAACATACGATACAAAATGCATGAAAAAAACAACGCAATTTTGGCCTTTATCGTGAGTTCAGTCAGCTTGAGTGAAGCAGGCCGGTGTTTTCCACTTCCTGTGGAGCCTGAATCCTCCAGTCAGACGCAGCCGGTCAGCTTCTCCTCCGTTTGGGATGAAATACTCTCACATTCATGAACTGAAATAATCGGACAATCTTCAGACTGTGTAATGCACATTCATGGCGCCAAACGCAGGACTGAGACGTGAAAAAACACAGGAGTTTACAAAAATACAACTGCTGAGTGTGTGTGGGGATATCTTGGATGTAGGGGTGTGCGATGTTCACCAAAATCACCAATTCTGATTATATATAACTATGTTGTACTAACTGTTTTTCTGGGCTAGTTCAAGACTGTCATGAGTAAATAGGTAAATACGACAATAAAAAAAAAACCCAGTAGGGGGGGGTGCGAGTCCCTGTTTTAATGAGTGATTCACTGAATCAGTCATTCAAATGATTCGTTCAAAACAACTGATTCATTCAGAACTGAAGACACTTTTTAAATAGTTTTCATTGTCAGTTTAATAATAACTCTTGTGTTTCTTTAACAGCATTTTATTCATTTGTTTTCTCCTGCACTTGCACTATTTCAGTTTTTATTCACATCTATATTCTGATGGTTTTCATGTTCCAACCCAGGCTCCTTCTGAAAACTGACCCCTGTATACATTTCTGGAGAGCACCAAATATGACCCAGGAGCTACGCTATTATACAGTTTTCGCGAATCCACCAGAGGGCGCTGTGTACACTTTTTCAGAGCTCAAATTTCTCTCACGAGTGCCATCCACGCCTGCTGAACTCACATAAATCCTCCAGAGGCCGCTGTCGACTGACTGACCGATCTACTGTCCCACCCTCCTCCTAAACCCAACCAATAGTGTTTTCCAAAGCACTGATTAAACCGATCACCCACTTCCCTAAACCCGACCAACAGTGTTTTCAAAAGCAATCCAGAAAACGAAAAGCCCTCGCCTGATTTTTACCACTTTTTCAGACTTCACCACATTCTCGCTCTGTTATTTACTTGTTTATTTTTTTGGCTTCTTTTTTTTTTGTCTAATCTACTTTCTGGAATCATTCTTCACCAGACTTGAAACCCGTCATCATGATCAACTCATTTCTGCATCTAAAGTCTGCCGACATATGCAGCAAGCAGGCCCGGATTAAGAATCCAGACGGCCCTGGGCACAATGTCTTGTAGGCCCCCTATTTTTAAAATAAATTTAATCTAAAATGTATTGCCCGCATTTTAAAAATAAATAATATACAGTACATATAATTCTAGTCTACAAAGATTTAACTTATTTTTAAAGCATTTAAAGCACACTCTGATAAAAAAGATACTTATACAACTAGTGAAAATTAATGGATTTTAATATACTTGTTCAAGTTCAATGAAGCAGTACTTTAATGTATATTTAAGAGTACTTTTTTAATGTATAACCTCTACAAACTTATAATGCATTTGTTTATTACACCAATCCAATCCAGTTCTATGAATCTGAGTCCTCCATAACACACTTATTAATCATTCCTACTTGTCTTCCTCGTGATGAAGAGTAGGCAAAATCTGATATGTAGTGGGGGGAAAAAGAAGAATGAGTTGTTCAGACCCTGGATTCGAACCGGGTTCATGATCGATCGAGTCAAAACATGTTGCCATTCGCTTTATGAGCTACGCTGCTGTCTGCTGCGCACTTTAGTTTTGTTATCTCTGCCAATCAAACGGTGATGGGCGGGAAATACTCAACGAGCTTATTCCAACAAGATGTGCTATTTGCACTTAGACACCGCAAAATTGCCCCCCTGGGCCTGTGCCCATAATGCCCATTGGTTAATTCGGCCCTGGCAGCAAGCTACTGGACAAACTGGTAACAGTGGGAAAGTCATGGTAAGCGGTCAGCGTTAGAAGAAATGGTGTTATACCGTCCCATAGCGTTTGTTTTAGAGACAAAATGCAGCCATGAGTACTTCTGGCTACATAATTCATGATCTCCAGAAATGTATACAGGGCTACATTTTCAGAATGAGCCTGTGTTGATATGTTCACATGTAATTTTCCTGTTAATGATCAATGTTTCATTCTACATTTTCTTTCTGGTTTAGCATAGTATTTTCTGAATTACGAATCAAAAGAGATCCCTCAAATCCCTCTTTTGACTGTCTGTTTTGGATCATGTAAACAAAAACACACAAGGATTTTGAACCTGACATTTCCAAATGATTCAGTCAAAACAGTTGATTCATTTATAACTTAAAGTTCCTGATTCCTGATCCAAATGATTCATTCTGAATGAATCTATTTTGGAATGAATCATTTGATTCATTGGTAAGACTTTATTTTGACGGTCCCTATTGCATATTTTGTTGACTAAGACTCATTGCAACTACATGCCAACTACTCTTCATTTGAGTATTAGTAGACTGTCTGCTTGATATCTGCTGATTCTGCTCCTTCAACAGACATTTAACTGACTGAAAGAAACTTTACAAGCACATGTCAACTTATCCTAACCCCAACCTAACAGTCTACTCATAATCTAATGAGAATTAGTTGGCATGTAGATGTTGAACTCAACAAAATGTGTAAAAGGGAGCATCAAAATAAAGTGAGAGCAATTCACTCTATTTTTTACTGGAGACTTTAATCTTTAAACTTTGTTTGTGGTGTTGTAACTGGTCCCAGTTTAGTGCTCTTAATATAAATTAAACTAATATTGTTGCGTTCCATGCATTCCCCCAGACCCGTGTTGGACGTAATTCATTCATTCATTTTCTATTTAGCTTAGTCCCTTTATTAATCCGTTGTCGCCAGAGCGGAATGAACCACCAACTTATCCAGCAAGTGTTTACGCAGCGGATGCCCTTCCAGCTGCAACCAATCTCTGGGAAACATCCACACACACACTCATTCACACTCATACACTACGGACAATTTAGCCTACCCAATTCACCTGAACTGTCTTTGACTGTGAATGAAACCCACGCGAACGCAGGGAGAACTTGCAAACTTCACACAGAAATGCCAACTGATCCAGCCAAGGCTCGAACCAGCCATCTTCTTGCTGTGAGGTGTCAGCACTACCTACTGCGCCACTGCGTCGCCCTCTGTGTTGGAAATAACAAAATAAAACCATCAATATTTTGGCTAGTCTCTTGCAATAAACTTGCAATCAACATCAAATGTGTGATTTTCACTCTTGCTTGAACTATATTATATCTGATAAACAAACACAAATGGCGTCCATATTGTTGTATTATTTCAGCCTCCATAACTAGAATTATAGGCTTGTTCTGACTGCATTATAATAAAGAGCTGTTTCCTATGGAATCAGATTAGTCTCAAAAGAAATTCACGCAAAAGACACGATGTACACATGCGTAGCCAAATTCACGTGCATAAAATCAAATTCACGTGTGTAAAATATTTATTTATATTCACAAAAAATTTTCACGTGCACAAAATACATTCATTGGATATAATCAGGGCCGGAGTGGGACTCCTTTTCAGCCCTGGAGTTTCAAGCCTTCGACCAGCCCACCTCAGTTCACGACTGATCATATTAAAATAAGAGCATTTCCAATTCAGTTTGTAATTACACTATCAAGTCTCTTTAAAGAAAACAGCTGCTTTAGAACTTCAAATATTCAACAACTTTACAGTTTTATATGTCTAAAAAAAAAAGAAAAAAAAAACAACTCTGGTGAGGATCGAACACAGGTCGGTGGCTTGATAACTTAACGTACTGACCGCTAGACCACAGTGGTACTGCTATGCTCAAATAGCCGGAATGATAACTCATCATTCTGCAGGCTACATTCTGCTCATGAGGCTGCGAGAAAATAAATAAGAAGAGCGGAGCTGCGGCAAAATAATGGATAAAAAGAGTGAGGCTTTGGACAAATAATTAAATAAATGAAAAAAAAGTGCAACTGCGACTGCTGCTTTCTCCGTTCGCCATGCTGGAGAGAAACAGTCTGCGCAAATGAAGCGCAGAGTTGGTGTCATTGACTACAGCTCTCATCTGATTGGCTGAAAGGTACGACTTGCCCTGACTCTGGCAGGAAAGTCTCAAAAATACTCACACACGTATCCAGGGGGAGTCGTACGTGAAAGAGGATTTGCACATTCTCATTCAGGATGAACTCGCAAGTTTTAAACATTCAAAACTTTTTGTACACTCCTATACATTTGCAAATGGTGTTTTGCATTTGTGAAACGTATTTTATAAAAATGTATTTTTATTTTGTGCACGTGAAAATTTTTTGTGAATATAAATAAATATTTTACACACGTGAATTTGATTTTATGCACGTGAATTTGGCTACGCATGTGTACATCGTGTCTTTTGCGTGAATTATTATTGAGTCTAATCTGTCTCCATAGTTTCCTACCACATTGTGTTCGCTTGCACATCGATAAAACACCGATGGCTGTATTACCCCACATGATGAACATCGCACACCGCTGATGGACGTTTGCTTTTAAGGGAAGGGAAGAAAACATCCTTTCCTAGAAGATTAAAAATCTGCCCCGAAGGCAAAATGGCTTTCAGAGAAACAGATTCATCGAATATGAAGGAGAAACGCAATCAGACATTTGGTAGTGTTGCATTTTCTGCGTATAAACCACGTGTGTTCTCAAAACTCCACCAAAATGGGACGGGGGGGGGTTTTCTCATTGATGCGTAAAAAAAAAAAAAAAAAAGCGATCTGACCCCGTTTATTTTCTGCTGCAAAAGCGATGAGAAAACGTCCCTGATCGCTCGTCTCGCCGCTCCTTTTCTTTTCTTTGCATCGAAGTGAATTTGGACTTTATGGCTTCATGGGTTTTTGAACACACTGTTGAGTGCACAAGCGATGGCTCTACCCAAACAAACAATGCTTTCCGTCCTGAAATTGAGCGAATTCTTAAATGCTTTTGTGAGGTAAGAGGAAATAACGTGTCGGCCAAAGGAAATTGTCATCGATACGCGTGTTTGCATATTGCTAAATGGCGCAACATTTACAAAATGCATGTCTCAAATCTGAATCTGTTGGCAAAATATTCCTACGCTTTAGTTTGCAGTCTGACATTAAGATGCGGACGGTCAGAAAAGGACGTGTTGGTCACAGATTCGGGGGTTTTTACTATACAGGTGTTTTGGAAAGGGCCGTGTGTGTTTGTGTGTGTGTCTCAGTCACAGTACGTCTAGAAGGCCGGCCAGGTTTTGTTGTGTGTTTCCCGCTGGATAAACCCTGTTGGTGGTGTTTCTCTGAAAGCGTCAGCACTCTCCGTCTGACACCAGGAATATCATGGCCTCCTGTTTGCCGATCTCCGCCATCACCGCCGCCAGCTGGTTCAGATTGCCGCTGTGGAAATGCTGCGTTTCCCATAAGTCCAGAATCACTGATGTGGGGCTCGATTTGGATGCGAAGAAACTCATGTGCCTGCAGACGGAAACACTCAAAGTCAACAAAACTGCTTTACTCTCGCCCATGCAGCATTGACTTCAGGCAACAGAGTGTTTTCAATGCATGTTTCCTTAACCACTTAAACTCTGTGGACCCGGTACCGGGTCCGTTACGTCATCGACTTTCGCTTTCAGATTTAAAGAGCTAGCGTTGCACCAGACCCCTGTAAGTGGTGTCGTTTGAAAGTGTAGAATCTATATTTATTGCACATATGCATCACTTTGGTTTTTATCCTACTTTATAAAAGTTATTTACACTTAAATTCACAGCATTTTGGATACCCGAGCTAGGGTATCCAAAATATGAACCAATTTTACATTGGTTCATTTTCATATTTTTTCATATGACACATGCACAAGTTATAGCTCAAATGAAAGCTCTTGCTGGTGCTCATACAGTTCTAGCATTCTTTTTACTGAATTATATTCATATGTCAAACAGTTGTTGAATGAATCGAGGTGTTTCCATGGCGCAGAAATGTAAACAATACATTCATGATCACTAAGCAGCCCCAGATAGCACAGACAGCTGTCATCTCTTACCTTATGCTGTGCGCTTCAGGGCCATTCTCCTCTGTTTTTGAGGTGATGTGCATAAGTAATCCTTTTATATGTCTGATGTGGTCCAAACACAGTAAATTATGTTTGATCAAATAAAAGAATAGTGTAATATGAAAACAATGATCGGTCTCTGTGGCTTGTACAGCACCTCTCATCAGTTGGAATGCAATATCTTTTGCATAGATTATGGTGGAGACCTTTTTCTTCTTTTCTATGATTACAGACATGTGCAGGAACCACCAACATTAATTACAGCACGCTAGACCACACACAACCTAAAAGGTACACTTTCATATTTGAGTTTGAAAAAAAAAATACAAAAAGCGCCTCTTTTTTTAGGTGTTTGTTATAACACAGACGACATATACAGTTATTTTAAACACTTTCAATAGTGTTTTATGAAAACTCAAAGTTTTTTTTTTTAAAATGATACCAAATTTTTGCATTTACTCCTCTGCATGTGGATTTGGGAATCTTTTAAATTTGGGTAGGCAAAATCCAGGCGGAAATCCCCAAATAACAGCGAGTTTAAGTGGTTAAAGAAGACCTATTATGCCCCCTATTACAAGATGTAAAATAAGTCTCTAGAGTGTGTGTGTGTGTGTGTGTTAAGTTTGGCTAAAAATAGCACAAAAATAATGTTCTCTAGCTCTCTAAAACTGACACTGTTAGGCTTTGATCCAAAGTGTGGTGTTTTGGTGACTGTCGCTTTAAATATAATTGAGGTTGTGCTCTTTTCAGAAGTGGGCGGAGCTACAAACACCTGTGTGTCAGCATAGCGGCAGATTGAAAACAGTCCTAATGTTGTCGCTGTGAGTGTGTGAAAAAGCTTCTGTCAGTCTATGTCGCTCCTGTCGCTGTTCATTTGTGCTTCATCTAAAACTCCACATCTATAATTCTCTTAGAGTGCTTTCGCATCTGTAGATTGATTGTTTTGTTCTGAAACAGGGATTCAAATTGTTACAATGTTGCTCTTGGTGTGGTTCCCTTTTACACGGCAATGTTTCTAATCGGAGCTTAAAGGGTCACGAAACACCAAAGCACATGTTTTGAGCTGTTGACAGTTGTATATGTGTCCCACTCTGCTAAAAACACTATTAGGACACCTATATCTCACTAAAAAGTGAAAATCGGTTGTTTTTGCGTTATTTCGAGCAAATTCGTACTTCCGAAGCTGCGTCACGGCCATGAGATCTTAGCGTGTATTCCATCATGTAGACTGTCAAGCGGGAGAACAAGAATTGTTTGGAGATACGGGTCGTCAGTGTTGCTTTTATAATTTGCTGCAGTGAAGGTTTTGCTTTCATTTTCCCTCTATGAGAGCGCAGCTGGACTCACGTGTGGATTACAGTGCACGCGACGACCCAGAAATATTATTAGAAATACAGGATATTAAAGCTGAGCTTTAATTTTGAATGGTGACACCACAGACATCGTCACCAGATATAAATCAGAGATAAGACTTTCTCATACAGAGCCGTTGGCTAGAATTATGCGTTACAGGCTTTTTCTTATTGGATAACCAGCTCTTGTTTCTAATCATAATAGTTTTAATAACTCATTTCTAATAACTGATTTATTTTCTCTTTGTCATGATGACAGTAAATAATATTTGACTTGATATTCTTCAAGACACTTCTATACAGCTTAAAGTGACATTAAAAGGCTTAACTAGGTTAATTTATTCAGGTTAAAATAGACTATCAAGAAAAAATACATAGCTTAAAGAGGCTAATAATTTTGACCTTAAAATGGTTTTAAAATAATTCAAAACTGCTTTCATTCTAACCAAAATAAAACAAATAAGACTTTCTCCAGAAGAAAAATTATTATCAGACACACTGTGAAAAATCCCTTGCTCTGTTAAACATTATTTGGGGAAAAAAAAAAAAAAAGTTTTTAATTCTTTAAACACCATTTTAAGGTAAATATTATTAGCCCCTTTAAGCTGTATTGTTTTCAATAGTCTACAGAACAAACAACTGTTATACAATGAGTTGCCTAATTGCACTAACTTTACCCTAATTACCCTAGTTAAGCATTTAAATGTCACTTTAAGCTGTATAGAAGTGTCTTGAAGAATATCTAGTCTAATTGTATTGACTGTCATCATGGCAAAGATAAAATAAATCAGTTATTAGAAATCAGTTATTAAAACTATTATGATTAGAAATGTGTTGAAAAAATCTACTCTCTGTTAAACAGAAATTAAATCTGGCTCTGTTTAATTAACTGAATATATCCTATGGTCCAGTGCAGCTGAGCTCCTGGTTTACTGCTGATCTTCATCTGATGGATTCTCCTCATCTAAAAGGCTAAAGTTTAGGTTGTGTGTGTGTGACCTTTTCCATTGACCAGACTGAAGCTTTCAGATCAAAGCTGATCAATAAGAACAAAGCATGGCCTTTCTGCAGTGTATTAGATGTTTGCGGCTGAATCTCTCAGAGGAAGCTCTTCCATCTAAAGGCCTTTTTCTGTTTGCAGCTTTAAGTGTTGTTTCTGCTCTGTTCTCAGTCAGAAAAGCTTTATGTGCATACACTAGTGCTCAAACACATCTTCTGCAGGAAAATATGACTGCATTCTGCCCTTTTTGATTAAACAATTAAATGCATACATATTTAAATGAACTAATGAATGAATAAATGACTAAATAAACAGCTTCGCCCTAAAAACCTAAAATATAATTGATTTAATAATCAGATTATTACATTTCTGCACAAATCAACAATCAATAAAGTTATTAAACCTGGCTTAAATATTTGTGTTTGTGTGTGTGTGTGTATATATATATATATATATATATATATATATATATATATATATAT